CAGGTTCACGCCTGTTGGGTGGGAAACTTGGAGAAAGCCCCTGGCAGATCCTACGGGGCAGCAGCATCCCCGCCCCGGGAGGGAGGACGCCCGCAGCGAGGCCACTGCACCAGGACAGGCCGGGACCCGCCGCCGGGGAGGGCTGCGAGGGGCCCTTCTCCCCCACGGCTTGGGTTTTACAACGCAGCTTGGGAGGGCCCGGACCCACGGCTCCCGCGCTGCACTGGTGCTTGGGTCCGTGAGGGAACGAGGGACACGCCACTCCCACGGGGCAGCGCCCAAGGAGCTCACCCGCTTTCACCCGCACTGATAATCTGCATTTTGAAAGAGAAACCAGCTCAAGTATCACAGTAGTTTGCCAAGAAAAAGCTCATCTTAAAATACTGACAACAGTAAGAGATGCTGATTTTACTGATGGGTGAAGTGGGGCCTGGAAAGGTTGAAAAAGCTCCACACGTAAAGCCCCTGGTGAGCTGGAACCCAACCGTCATGCTGAATGTAAAACCAAAGTCTTTCTATCGACAGGGCAAGTTTATTTCTGTGACGTTCTTGTAACAGAGAATGCTAACTTTAATTGAGATAAATTTAACTCGGTACTCAGCATCATGGCTCATTCAAATAACAGATTCCTGTCGCATTCTGGAGGGTTGATGGTAAAATAACAAATTGGCATAATAAAGTTCTGTTTAAACAGACTGATGCCTTCCCTAGGTATTCACTTCAGAAGACCACCGAATGAAAAATATTTTCTGCTGGCTGGCAGAGGGTGTTCAGTGGATAAAGATAACTCTTTATCAGACCATTTTTCTGTTGCTGCCTTTTCGCTCTCCCATGCCCAGGGAGCTTAGCTCTGCGGGAGGTTTTCATGCCAAGGGCTTTCCTGCCTTTCAGGGTGTGGTACAAAGGAGTAAGAGCACATTTACTAAGAAATGGGCTTTGCTCGCTGTTTGTTAAGGGAAGTGTTCAGCTGAGTGTCTCCAGAAAAGGCTTCCTTGCTGTTCGAGGGCAAAAAGCCACAGTGATGGGAATTCTCTTCTGGAAATTGGCTGAACTAATTCTCAGGTTATCAAATTAAGGATTCCTAAGTAAAACTGACATCTAAGTCAAGGGAAGGCATTTAAATGAAGATGAATTGGACAAACATCCTTTTATAGTTCATTAGACTCTCCAAGTGAGCAAAACTAGACTGCAAGCAGCCGTCCTGAGAAAGAGCAGGAGAACCCACAGCCTGCCAGGGCCGTTAGGATCGCTTCGCTGCAGAAGGAATTTGTGTTTTCTCCATTTTTAGCTCCCCGAGACTGTTCAAGAATCTCAAGTCAGCACCAGCACGTCAGCCTGAGTGTTGCTGGGGGAAGTCCAGCACCAAGAGCTGTTGCACCCTCACGGGAGCGCAGGCACACTGACCCTCGGCTCGGCGACGGAAGAGATTTGGGCACCAGCCACTCGCACAGCGCCCCCAAATTCACCATACAGCAGCATTATTTCAAACCTCACCCCAGGTCCGTGCCGAGAACCCCCCAGAGCCAAATTCCCGTTGGTTCCGCGCAGCCACACGCGCACGGGCCCCTGCCTCTGCCCCCCAGCCCGCCAGCACCCCCCGCCAGGACGCACCGCCGCGGCAGATCTCGCCGGCTGA